ATGTTTTATAGAAAGAACAGAATCTGCAAAGCACAGAGGATTGAGAGAGAGTGGGGTGTTTAGGGGCCTGTAAGTACGTCTGTGTGACTAAAGAACAAGATGCCTAGGGGAGAGCGCCCAGAAAGGAGAGCAGGCACAAATCACTGAGACTTGGGAGACTGGGCTGAGGACTTGGACTTGATCCTAAAACCTACAGGAAGCCACAGAAGGACCTTCAGCAGGTTCGGGGCTCAGCATGCGAGACTGCACAGCAGCGTCCCACAGTGGCCTCAGCCTGTGGCCTGTTCATTCTAAACATTGTTACTCACCAACCTCCTTCCCTGATCTGGGCTGAGAGTTCACATGTCTGGATCTGATTTGTCTCACGAGGTGTGATTTCTTTGGGGACCACAGATTAATAAAGTGAAAAGGATGTGTTTTCTTAATTCCTTTCTACCTGATTCGTCCTCTCATATTTCATACCCTTGCTGAGACAAATATAGAGATGTCTATCTTACAGACCCCTTTGGGAATCAGGTGAAAGTGACAGACCCTACGCTCAGATAATTTGTGGAGACAAGATTTTCTAGCCCCACATTAACCTCTCACTGCATCCAAATAGGTCCTCACACCCAGAGTAGTCTTTCGATCCCAGTCCTGCTTGTGTTTTTTGTGCTCTCTCCCCAAATTGTCTGTAATTTAATTTGCCTGCACATCCCATAATGCTTACATTTGCCATCACTGCTATTATCTATCATGAGCGCAGTCTTGGATCACTTGGTGATTGTAATTAAAACTGAAAGTAATTACCTTATTTTGAGCCATTCAAATTTAATTGAGTATGGTAGCTAAGGACATGGGCTCAAGGGGCATACTACATGGATTAGAACTCCAGCTCTGTCACTAATCTTGTAACCTTAACCTCTTCATGCCTCAATTTCCTCATTCAAAATGGGAATGATAATATACTTACATGATGAAGTTATTGTGAGGATTCATTGAGGAAACATACGAACATACTGAGAATAGTTCCTGACACATCATAGGTGCTATATATAAGTATTTGCTATTATTACATTATTATTTCTACTAAAATGACATCATGAATGGAGTAATGATGAATTACTAGAAGCAGGGAAATAGATGAGTAAAATCTCCATATGCATTTGACTCACTTTGGAGCCTTGCCAGTAACCGAAAGCCCAGAACAGATTCCCCAGGCCTGTAGAGTCTGGTGTGGTCACCAGCCACTGTGATTATCAACTACTTAAAATATGACTATCCCAACTTGAGATATACAGGGTCTTGAAGATTTGTATGAAAAAAAAAAAGAAGTAAAATGTCTCATTAATAATTTTATATTGGTTATAATGAAATAATAATATTCTGAATAAATTATGTATGTGGCTTGTGCTATATTTCTGTTGAACAGCACTGCCTTAGGCTCACCATTATCAATAAAACAAAAATTTGTGGTTGTGATAAGGTGACCACTATTGAAAAGCGTCTTATACTTCTCTTGCTATTCAAGTTATGCTGGACCATCCAATTTTTGTTGGTTCCATAAAGGGAGCCATGGCTCTGTCCTAGCAGAAGGGGACTGAGGGACCAAGGCAAGAGCAACAACTAGGGAGACTTCCGCTGACTCGGAGGGGTTTGGATGAAAACACTACCATTTATAGTTATACTGGGCTCAGCCTTTCAGCACTTTCTGAAGTAGATGAGAGAATGCTTTCTATTCAGGAAGTTGAAATATGTAGGCAAAAAAATTCTCCCTATTCCATCAGGAGCCAGAAAAAGCTTTGCTAATCTTTAACCAAAAGAATAATACTCAACATATGTCAGCCACTTGGGACAGAATGCACACCCTTTCCAAATGTGATGTACTTACGGAATGTTTGTTTAATTCTATTTCAGATTCATTCTCCCCACTTGAAACCTGAAAAGAGTGGGCCACACAAAGTCTTACTGGTAAGTTCTCTTTTTTAAAACAAAGTGACTGCTTGACATTATTTTCAAAGTGATATTTACACTTCTAAGTTAGATGCATCCCTACCAGTACTATGATTAGATGTTTATTTATTCACACTTTTTTCCCTCTCTGAAACGATTTTAAATGTTTCTATGCCTTAAAAAAAAAAAAAAGATCAATCCATGTTCTTTTGCTAAGTACATGTTCAGGGAAAAGATATATGATTACATGCCAAATACTATTAAAATAAAACTTTTTTTTTGGTAATGAAACTATTTCCAGGCCTCTGTCGATGGTCCACTAGTTTCAAGCAGTATCCACAACAACAAAGTGTTACTTCAGCCAAGGAATGCAGACAGTCCTTTGCAGTGTGTTGTAATGAAAACTGGCGCACAGCTAAAACATGTTAACTTTCTTATTGCTCTATTTTTTCTCTCATCGCTCTTTGAACCTGAACGTGATTGTCCTGAGCTAACAGTTCTTCAGCAGTAGAAAAGTTCCTTTAGAGCTAGGAGAGTAATATACTTTTTAAGTGAAAAGGCTTCTGGGTTTTCATGTTGTATCACTTCCTGATGTTGTAGTGATGCTGTTATTTGCGGTGTGAAGCAGATAGTTTTGCTGCATAACAAACCTCCCCCAAATTTGCGGCCAGATATTTAAGCCAAAATTTACTGACTCTGAATAACAATTGTTTCTTCATCCTACAATTCTGTGGGTTGGCTGGGCTCAGTTGGTTGTGATTCTTCTGGTTTCAGGTGAGACTATTCATGTATCTGCAGTTAGCTACTGGTCTAGGTCACCTAGGCTTTGTTTCTGGAAGTCACCTGGCTCTTAATTGGATGACAGTGACTAAGACATGCGTCTCACCATCCCACAGGCTACCCTGAGCTTGGATACCAAGAGAGAGCAGAAGTGTTGTGAGGCCAAGGTTCAGAATTGCCACAACATTTCTTCTACCACATTCTGTTGGCTAAAGCAAGCTATATACCTAGCATGGATTCAAGAGGTTATGGGTATAGATTCTACCTCTTGGTGAGAGGAGCTGCAGAATTACATTGCAAGGAGCATGGATACAGGGAGTGGAAGAATTGTGGCCACTTTTACCATCTACCATACCGTGTTTGAGCCAAATGAAAACAGCTGTGGTTGAATGAAGGTGCATGGGAGTGAGAGAACTCAAATCCCACTCCCATCTCATAGCCCATCCTTTCATCTCATTTTGATTGACAGGCCCTAGAATCCTGGTCTTACTCTTCACCATCTGCCATCCCAGTCAGTTCATCGGGTTCTTAGGTAGTCTTGCCAATATCAAGTTTTGCAGTGTTCAACCCTTTTTTTTTTTCCTACATAGCATTGCCACACTAGTCATTCAATTCATCTTTCAGGATGTTACTTTTTTGCTCAAAAACTGTCAGTGCTTCCATATCACCCACCATACCTGCTTAGATTCCTCTCTCTGTCTTCTCCACTTTCACTATCTGGCTCCTTCCTCTTTTACTCACCTCCCACTATTGCTTTTATTCTAGGCACCTCATGCTACTCATACCTTCTCCACTTGGAAATCCTTCCCATTCTGCAGGGCCCTGTAGAATCATCCTTCCTCCATAATGTGGCCTCCCCCTGCCTGTTTCTGCTATCTATGATCATCCATGCCCAGAACTACGTCAAAACCAAGCACTGTCTTTAGTGGTTCGCTCATCTTGGTTAGTCTGACTTCCTCCATTGCTTTCCCAATGCTTTGAGAGCAGAAGGCTGCCAAGCCTTCTTCGTACTAGTCAGCACAGGAATGAGAACACAGTAGGTCCAGCATGGAACTGCACTGGGTCACCCACCAGCAGCTCATCAGGATCACATGAGGCACCTGTTGTAATATAATCTAGTCCCTTCCACTGTGCCAGGCACACTAGTCAGGTCTGGGAAAGACCCCAGGAATCTTAAAGTGCTCTGATGATTCTGATGTGATTGCTAGGCAGTTGGCAACCACTTGTTACGGAAAGAACAAGAAATTTATGAAACCCGGATTTGAGCCCTGGCTCTGCTACTCCCTGGCTCCAGGACCTTTACAAACTCAGCTTTTCTGAGCTTCAGTTTTCTTATCTATAAAATGGGAATGATATTTAACTCGCAGATTGCCAAGAAGATCAAAAAGCATGATGTATGTGCAAGTGCTTTATAAACCAGAAAATATAATTAAAATGCATTAATTGATTATAGATCTGCAGCTAGCTGGTGTTAATAAAGGGGCAGTTACCTCCATGGTGATGGTCATGTAGTGACAGGGGAACAGGCAGAGAGTAGTTAAGTATTAGGATAAATAATAACAGCAAAAATAGTCATAATTAGTTTCCACTGTTTATTGAATTCTGACTATGCCAGGCACTGACTATTGGCTCTGTTAGCTGCTTTACATAGAACTATTTGATATTTATAAGAAGATCCCCCTGTTCATTTGTATCTGTACCATAATTACAGCCTATTTCACCATTAGTGAATTATTCCTTTGGTTTTTCCCTCTTCAAAATACCTGGTTAAAACATGTTCATCCCTGAGAGAAGAACTATATGGTTAATCTGCTATCAACCATTGACAGCTTATTAATATCAAGTACAAGGTCTTGTAGAAGTATGAGCTGCTTTGAAATGGTGGGAGGAGTTGGGGATAGGCGAGCAACCAATGGTACTAAAGAGAAAATAGGTGTGGTGTGCACAGGAATAGACCAGCGGGCACCCAGCTGCCCAAGGAAGGATGGAGTTGTGGAGATACTCAGGGGAGTAGGAGGAGAGATCTGAGACGTTTGCTGACTTGACAGTTTGGCCCAGGGCTATTCCTGGTCCAAGGTCACTACCTACCTTCACAGCAGGCAGTATTGATAAAATTGTCCTCCATTTACCATCTGATTCGTTTTACATTATTTTGATTGCTGTTAATATAGTATATATGCTTGTGTTCTTTCAAAGATTTTTGAAGTGGCTTTTAAATATACATATGACATAATGAGATTCAGAAAAATAAGGAAGGAAGGAAATATGGGGGACAGGAAAATAAGGTGAAGTCAGAGGTAAGATTCGGCCCCCAGTGCATGGGTGACAGCCTGTATATTTGCTAGCAAGTACCATACTCTTGTGTCTGAGCTTCTGAGGCGTCAGTACAAGGAGGAAAATGCACTCAGTTAACAGTTCCTTGTGGCTGGAACAGAAAAGCACACTAGTTACTCAGAAGAAGCAAAATTAATTGTGATTCAAGGCTTAGAGTAATTTCTCCTCAGTGCTCATAAAAAGAATACCACATAAGGTAGCAAACAACATCCCTTTGGTAACTAAAATAATGAGGACCACCCTGGACAAATGATGTAACACTGAGTATAGTCCAAGAAAAGCCCTTCCAGTCCAGATATGCATTTCTCTCTTGGCCTTGCTTAAATCAAGGATACAATGTAATGGTTTCAGCTGGGATAACAAATACATATTGTCATACTGTCCCCCACCCCCACCTGTGATGAACTTCACAGATTGTCATGGCTTATGATGCTGAACCTGAGTATTTGGCTGTGTACCGAACTTGATACACAAGTTGAAATCTACTTACCATCCCTGTTCTAAAAGAATAACAAATAACTTCTTGAAAGTACTCTGAATATTATTTCTCCTCACTCCCAAATCATTCTGCACTCTGACTCAGCCTGTGGAGTGTCTTTGATGCACAGAATTTACACTGACCCTGTTTACTGTGACCTGTGTGGCTCTTTTCCTCATTCCAAATATCTCTCTCCTTCTCTTTTGAGTCCCTTGGATACTGGAGTGTTTGGGGAGAATCAGGGCAGTTTGAGAAGCTCGTGGGACTAGACATAGTAGGTAGACTCCATGTATTTGTTTGATGGTAGCAAACTATAACCTGGGCTCCTGTCGTCCACTTCTGGGACTCTCTTCTTCTGGTTGGTAACATTAATATTAATTGTAAGAAGTCATGTCTGATTGGTGGCAGCATTGTTAAGATGAACTGGCAGGGACAGAAGGTAGTGTGAAAGTAATGTTAAGCCTAGACTTTTTACAAGAATGTCATAGGATCATAAATTTTTAATTCGGCAAAGATCATTGTCAGAGAAGAGCCTAGAATTCCACCAAGGACAACCCATGAATGGGAATTTCTTTGGGGGCTTTATTTTCACTTAGATCAGATTTATTCATTAGAATTATTTTGTTTGCAAGTAACAGAAATCCAACTTAAACTAGTTTCTTGACTGACATCACTATGTTGTCCATGCCGGCATGAACTTCAGGCTTAGCTGTACCCAGGGGTTCAGAAGATATCAATCATCAGGCCATCATCTTTCACTCTTTTCATCTTTTGGCTCTGCCTAACTCGTCAGCTTCTCATACTCATGAGCAAGTGCTCCCTCACCATGATGCATAGGTAGCCAACAGCATTACATTTCTGTCATCCTCATAGCTATGGATCTCAGTGAAAAGAACATGCCTCTTTTGCTATTGTTCTAACAGTGATACTGAGGAAGGATCTTAATTGACCCAGTTCAAATTTCTTGCCCGAATCGACTTAGCTGGAAGTAGGCAGTAGACAATAAGCAATGTCTGTCTAACCATACCTTATTCAGATATCCCTTGAGGGAGGGTGAATACCTCCAGAATCACATGGAATGGGATCCCCTAGTAAAAAGGAAGTAATTTTAGTCTACGGCTATGCCACTCTGAACATGCCCAACCTCGTCTGATCTTGGAAGCTAAGCAGGGTCGGGCCTGGTTAATACTTGGATGGGAGACCACCTAGGAAGACCAAGTGCTGTAGGTGTAAAAAAATAATAATAATAAAATAAAATAAAAAAGAAGGAATTTTGTTAACAGAAGAAAAAATTTTAATTCAGTAAAGATCATTGTCAGAGAGGAGCCCAGAATTCCACAAGGACTACCCACAAATGGGAATTTCCTTTTGGACTTTGTTTTTCATTTAGATCAGTCTTATTAGCTAGAACTAGGAAGAGAGGAAG